AAATCCAAAGAAAGATCTGCAATGTAATAGATCCTGACCTGGCATCTCGACATCAGTCACCTTCTCACAGACGTCTTTTTCACAAACTTTTTCATGGCATTTTCCCCCCCTGGTGCGCTGACTGCATGAATTATTCAACTACTGCTTATTTTTTATTTCTATATGAGAAAATCCCGATAGAAGATCCTTGAAGTAACGGAGATATGGTTCATACGAAGCGTGCTGAAAAATCCCATGGACAAAAAACAAACAACCAGGAAGTTTAAGGAGAATAAGAAACACAAGGAAACTGATACTTACAATCAGAAAGTGTCTGTTCTGATATCTGAAACACAAAACGAGGAAAGAAAGCATGGAGAATTTAAAACTCACAGGGCATATGGAAAGCAAGAGAAACGGCGATTAACCTATTTAACAAGATCGTGTGAATGGATGGCAGAATAAGGAATAAGAGAGATAGTTAAGGGTTGACAGTTGCTTAGAACAACAAAAGAAAGGAAGCTGCGGAGAGCCATGATCCTGAATGGATATGCCTTATATAAGGTCAAGATTATGGTTAGAGCAGTAGTAGTAGAAAAAGGTATGTTGTGGAGGGACATGACCGCCCCCGTCCTGAAGGGATATCTTATATAAATGATGACGATTATGGTTAGAAAAGATGTTGTAAAAAAGGAATGTCGTGGAGAGCCATGACCTCTCACATTCTGAACGGATATAGCACATAAAAAATGAAGATTTTTATTATGGCAGAAATTATAAAAAAAATGTAATGTGAATTAAGCAAAGAAAAAAAATGTGAATATATCTGAAGATTATTTTAGAATTAATTAAGCGTTAACACGAATCAGTTATTAACCACGGAATGCTTTCTGCTCTTCTCAAGAAAATTCAAACTCCTCCACAAAATATTCAAATTACCTCCTCACCCTGTGGTGCGCGCGTTCACTAATTTAACCTAACAGGGCAGATCAGGTTCTTTTAATTACGTCTGCGCACGTCAAAGCACAAAGTTTCTGGTCGAGAAAACCGACCTTCTATGCCTTGTTATGAGAAACGCCATAAATCACCAATTTCAGTAACGAAATACATGTCATTAAATAAATTCTTCTTTTTCTCTTGGAATCACATGGAACTTTCAGAGAACAAAATAAGACAAATGCACTTTAGCAGAGCGAAATTCTTCACCTGCGATACAGACACTGCAACAGATAAACAAGACGAACAGTTAGCAATGTTGCCATAAGACCGTGACACACACACACACACACACACACACACACACACACACACACACACACACACACACACACACACACACACAAGCCAATTCTAAATATTTTCAGTTCGTTGGTTCGAAAATAAAATCGGCCTCCTGAAATTTGATTACAAAGAATAAACAAAGATGCGCTACTTGCTTATGTTCTTGTGTTTCCCTTTAATGTTGAGCAGCACCATTTTTATACGACTGTTCACCCAACACAACACTTAAGTTAGAGAAAGAGGTGGCTCCTTAGGCCTAAGTAAGATTAAGAGGATCTGTAGAACAGATAACAGTTGGCCCAATATATAAAGTGTTTAAAATCTTATTGATCGCGGAAACGGTCTTCTCTGGGTGTCTGTTCCACAAGGTAACAGTTCCTAGAAAGAGAATTCCTTCTTACCAATGGAACACGAAGTGAATGAACATGATTTGACCTTGTGTACATGGAATGTCGGGTTTTAGCTGTGAAGGTCTGAACTGGTGCAACTAAGGAATGTAGCTCGTACAAATATTTTCCATAGAAATAGTGATAGGGTGACGAGTGGCTTGCGACGTTTAGTGTGTGGAGAAATGGTAGTAGTAATTGTAATATTAGCCGCTCCCTTCCAAGGAAACGTTTGACATTCATTGAGCGAGCAGTCAGCACAGCTTTCGGTTTATATTTCTAAAAATCTAGTCTGATCTTGAAATGGCTTGAGAAAATGAGCTCGATGCAGATCAAGGTCTGACCTGAGAGGGTGCACCATTAAAAAAATATCTTGTTGGAAGCTGTTGCTCAGACGTATATATATATATATATATATATATATATATATATATATATATATATATTTTGAAACAATAAAAAATATTAAAAATTAAAATCTTCAGACACACTGGGTTGTAGTTATATATATATATATATATATATATATATATATATATAAGTGAACATTGAAGTCAACATTCAGAGTGACAGGTTGTTTCCTGCTGGACGCAATATTGCATCCAGCATGAAACAACCTGTTGCCGCTGAGTGTTGACTTCAATGTTCATCAGGCTGACGATTGCGTCTAGTATGAAACAGCCTGTCGCCTCTGATTGCTTGACTTCAATGTTCACTTTTATATTTATATTTACATACGCTCTATCTCTGATATTGAGAACTTTATCCCATAAATATACACATTTAAAACTATATTTCTTCATTTATTCATATATATATATATATATATATATATATATATATATATATATATATATATATATATATATGAATGAAGAAAATATATATATATATATATATATATATATATATATATATATATATATACTCAAATGGATAAATATAAGTAAATGTACATGTGTAAGTGTTCCAATACAAATACACTAACAGAGACATATATATTGTTGTTGTAAGAAAAACAGTGCTCAATGCTAAATAACCGCTATTAAGCATATATTAATAAATAGACAGATACCTGCACCACGCCGACAGTACAGCTTGTGTTGTACTGTCGGCTTGGGGGGTATTATATTTATTAATATATATATATATATATATATATATATATATATATATATATATATATAGTTGCATCGATGTGAGTTTGTGATCCCTAGGTTTCACGCTGTTGCAATTGTTCGACGATCACATCAATGCAACTAAACATGTTAGCTCTATCACACTGACATTGAGCGCTTTCCAATAAGTACCGCGCATATATAATATATAAATGATATATATATATATATATATATATATATATATATATATATATATACAGTTTTTATTTTTAATTCATTTTATGCATTCTTTTTTATCTCTACCCTATAATTATGTAACTTGAATCCAGATCTATACCTCAATATAAGATTCTAATACCTCAATATAAGATTCTAATTATATAATTATTAAACGTAGAATTAATATACTATATAAGGTCGATTGCGCGTGACGCAGAATTTTTGAAATTATTAACGATCGTAACGAACGATTCATTACCATTGTTAGTACCTGAAGATTGTATTTAATATGAAACTCCGACTCTTACATTCGACGTAAAGTAACATGTATATATATTAATATATACTTTATAGCTCTGTATTACCGCATTGAGCACTGTTTTGTTAATACCAAAAATTAAATAAAATATTTATTTGCAAATTTATATATGCGCGTGATCGCACGCATATATGGTTGCTTGTATCTATATATATATATATATATATATATATATATATATATATATATAAGTTTTAAAGTATAAATTCTTTTTAAACGACTCTACTTTTTATATATATATATATATATATATATATATATATATATATATATATATATATAAGTCGTTTAAAAAAGAATGTTAGTACTCTGAGAAACTTTTGCAATGAATGCTAAAAATTGTGCTGCAGTAATCAAAGCTAAAAGAGGATATTTTGTCGAGAGCAAAATTTAATCAGAAAATGCTTTTTTTCTTTTTGTGATAATAAAATTTCTAATAAATGATCTCGCCTCACTATTTTTGGACCATGTATTATAATTTTCTTTTTATTTAAAGTGCAAAACTACTCCTTTTTGGGTAAATTCTAAAATTTACCAGGTGTCCTCAAACTATATTGTAAGTCTAATTTTACACTGGCCTCAAAATGGTAGAGAGGGGTCCGTTTTACACTAGGTCGAAAAAGGTTAAACCGAGGTTCGGGTTACACTAGTTTTCAAAAAGTAGATATAGGACCGATTTACACTAGGTTAAAATGATAGACCTAGGACCGGTTTTACAAAAAATACTAGACATTACACTAAAGTCAAATAGCTAGACATACGTTCAGTTTACACTCGAACCAAAAATGTAGACAGGGGTCCGATTTACACTGGGTTAAAAAGATTGATATAGGCCCGGTTTTATACGATGTCCAAATCGCTAGACATTGCATTAATATAAATAGACATAGGTTCAGTTTATACTCGAACCAAAAAAATAGACAAGTGTCCGATTTACACTAAGTTAAATTTTTTTTTTTTTAAGCATTTCACCCCAAGCAAGGCGGGAAGCCACTAGGACGCAAGGGGCTGACCAAGGCCCAGTTTTATGGGGTTTCCAAAACGATAGACATTGCACTTAAATAGTCAAACAGTTCAGTTTACACTCGAGCCCAAAAAATAAACGTTGTTCCGATTTATACGAGGTTAAAAAATAGATCTACAACTGATTTTATTACGGTTCTAAACCCCTAGAGATTGCACTAAATTCTAAGAGGTAGAAATAGTTTCAGTTTACACTCGAGCCAAAAACGTAGACAGTAATCCGATTTACACTAGGTTAAAATGATACCTAGGCCCGGTTTTACACGGTGTCCAAAACGTTGCAATAAAGGCAAATATGTAGACATAGGTCCAGTTTACACTCGAGCCAAAATAGCAGACAAGGGTCTGATTTACACTAGGTTAAAACGATAGACCTAGGCCCGGTTTTAGGTGTCCAAAACGCAAGACATTGTACTAAAGGCCAATCGGTAGACACTGATTCAGTTTACATTCGAGCTTAAAAAGTAGAGTTTCGATTTACACTTGGTTAAAAAATGTACATATATGTCTCGTTTACACTAACGTCAAATAAGTAGTTTTACACTGTAGTAAAAAATATAGACATCGGTGCTGTTTATATTCGATTCTATGTTTGTACAGACAGAATGTGGATCTTTTTGTGGGCGTTCTCTTTCTCTGCGGTCGATACTCTCGGCTTACATTAAACCGCACTTGACTGGAGCAAATGTTGAGAGGGCGACAGTGAAACAAAACAGACACAGGGAAGGATAGAGAAACAGAGAGTGTCTGTGTAGTATACGTCAGAGTAGATTATACTTGGAAATGGAAAAAAAAGAAAGAAAAAAAACGTGATTACGAGAGTTTTCATTTAGTCATTAGAATATTGAGAATAATTTGTTCGTTTTTTTTTTTCGTATATTCTTCTTTCTATTAGGTTGGTGCAAAAATAATGACGTAATAATGTCGTTTTGACGTTAAAAATACGTCAAAAAACGACATTATTACGTCATTATTTTTGCACCAACCTAATATCTATCCTTTGCTGATCCATTTGTCGTAATGATATGGAGTCGCAGATTTGGGAGACCGTAAAAAAAAAAACAAAAAAAAAAACAGAATAAATTCGAGTTTCGCATACAATCATTTTGTTACTCCCCTATTGACATCCGCTAAAATGGCTGAATCCAGTACAAGTTGTCTGCCTGGGAGATTAAATATTAGATTGTTTAGAACAAGCCATTTAATTGTGTTCTAATATATTATATGTCAAGCAAGTCAATAAAACAACTAAGACGCAAGGTATTATCGAGTGTGAGAGAATACGAGAAAAAGACATTACACTGATGGAGCGTGAGAGACTATGGGAAAAACTGTATTAAGGAGAGAGAACAATAATAGGGCTCACACCATTGCGATTGGCTTGTTGGTCAACTTCCAATCAAATGCTTGGCAGAGGGGGTAGGGTTTGCCTAATATAAGTCAGTGTCTGCAGGCTGTTAATTTAGATGGGGGTGCATCAGAGACTGATCACCTCTGATAGGGTCGACTTGGTGAGGGAGTATGATGTTTGAAAGACCCGAAACTGCCCAATGACCCAACTTAGAACATCACTGACGACGCCCCCCTAGAGCTAACGAGCGTATATTCAAAGTAAAGAACATGAAGACAGAAGATAATGATTGGCATTGCATTTAAAATTTTGAAGGTCAAAGTTGAATGGGAAGCAAGAAGCCGGTAATGAGTTCAGCAAGCGAGACGTTCAAGAGAAGAAACTGTTAGCCTAGAACTTACGGTTAAACCTCGCCATTTCAAACTTAAGAGGACGATAACTAAGTGCCAAACTAGTACTACACTTGAATTCGTATAGTCGAGCTAACATATCAGAACGATTAAAATGAAAATATATACAGACAAGGACCAGGGAAGCTTGATTGAGGCGGTGGGAAAGTGGCTGAAATCGAGATGACACGTCAGGACCGATAATATTGCAGATTCTTCTTCAGATCGTATCAAGAATTTCTAGATATATATAGCAGAGAAGAAGTGGAAAGATAACATTGAATCAATTTCTAGGTTTGCTGCTAGAAAAGTTGGTTCACTGTGTCGCGCCAGACAGAATCTATCTTATAACATCTATAAGTCTACCATTTCTCCATGTTTTGAATATTACTGTCATATAGAATGTGGTGTTCCTGTTATATATTTTGGGATCATTGATATGTGAGCATTTACTGTAATCTCGCTATAACGCACGGATGTTTTATCCAAATCAAATTCAGAGTGCTTCTTTTTAATCATTTTACCCCAAGCAAGGCAATAAAGCCACTAGGATGCAAGGAATTATTAAGTGTTAGAGAATATGAGAAAAAAACTACTAAGAATTAAGAAGGCAAAAAATGACGATTGACATTGCATTTAAAGTTTTGAAGATCAAAGACATTAAAGCCACTAGGATGGAAGAGGTTACTGAGTGTTAGAGAATATGAGAGAGGACAATAAAATTATAAGAATAAAGAAGGAAAAAGATAAAGATTGACATGGCATTTAAAGTTTTGATGATCAAATTTAACTGTGAAGTAAAAACCGGAAGAGAATTCCACAAGCAATAATTTCGGCAGAAGAAACTCTTAGCATAGAACTTACGGTTATAGCTAGCCATTTCAACTGAAATATGATGACACCTTTATCGAAGAATCATTTCTAGACTGTTAGCCGAACCAGACTAGAATCTAATATGTCCTGGTATTTAACCCATAAATTCCCAAGTTGGCATCTACGCGGATGACACCACAATTTATTTCTGCCTCCAAAACAAATCTAGTGTCACTGGCAAAACTAACCTGGCCGTGCGTCTTGAAATGGACCTCCAATCGGTTGTGAACTGGGGCAGGAATTGGCTGGTCAACTTTAACGCTTCAAAAACAAAACTGCTCTCTATTAATCACCACAGAGATCCTTCCCTGCCCTCCATTAGAATGTCTGACGCTCAACTTCTCGAGAGCACATCTCTACGGCTGCTCGGTCTCACGTTGACTGCTGACCTGAGATGGAACAAATACATTGAGTCAATTGCTTCGTCCACCGCAAGGAAAATTGGCTCCCTGTGCCGCGCCAGGAAATTCCCCCCCCGGAATCGAACCTCCAGATCTACAAATCAACCACTCGCCCTTGCATGGAATATTGCTACCATATATGGTCTGGTGCCCCTTCTGTTCGCCTCGGGGTTCTTGATAGGCTCCAGAGGCGGATATGCAATATAAGTGGCCCTGCTCTGGCATCTCGTCTACAGTCACTTTCTCACAGACGCGCCGTCGCCTCTCTGTCTGTTTTACAAATACTTTCATGGCAATTGCTCCGAGGAGCTCCATTCGCTGGTTCCCAGACTTCATGAGTTCAAGCGCCCTAAGAGGCTGGCATCCCGCTCTCATTCTTTCACTGTTAAAACTCCTAAATGTAGCCGTCTCTTTTACTCCAATAGCTTCATGTTCGCACCTCTCGCCTGTGGAACTCCCTTCCCTATTCCATTTTCCCTGAGAGCTATAATCTCCAGCTATTCAAATGTAATGTCAATCGACATCTCCAGTTGCCTTGATCTATCCACTACCCTTCTCCTCATCCTTTCTTCTATCACTCCTATCTGATCTTGCTCCAAATTTTCTGTAACCCCTTGCGTCCTAGTGGCTTTCCGCCTTGCTTGGGGTGAAACGCTTAGAAAAAAAAAGACTGAGAGGAGAAGAGATGTATTTATACTAGAGGTATTTGTAAAAAAGTAAACGTAACGAACTAATTTGAATTCTAGAATGTGACACCGAAATCCGAAGCATTAAGAAAGAAGAAAATTTTGTTAGGAACAAAGAAAAATGTTCTGAACTGTGCTTACTATCAATTCTACTATATGTCTGCTTTCAGATGAAGGGGAGATTTGAAGCAACATACTTATGGTTCTACAGAAAAAATACCGAGAATAACATTGGCAGAACACGTGTAGAAGGAAGAAGTTTTAAAGAGAATGCAAGCAAAAGGAGACTTATACTTTGAATCAGATTGAGGCCTTTGGAATTCCTGGAACGCATTTTGAGAAAAGAGGGTTTGGAGAATTTGGTACTTACAGGGCACTTTGAAAGCAAGAGGGACAGATGGAAACGGTGAGTAAGCTACCCAACAAGGTTTTGTAAATGGATGTAAGGTCAAGGATTGTTAATGATAGAAAGAAAACAAACATCGCTAAGAGCTACAAAGATCATGAAGCTGTGGAGAGCCATGACCGACATATCCTGAAGAAGAATTGACTTCTAAAACGCAACTTTTGCGGTTCTTTCTCATCTTTGTTTTACAATAATATTCACTCTGTACAAAACCCAAGAGCCACTCAAGGTAGAGCGTTATAGCGGAAGATACACAGTTCATGCGGATAAGAGGGGAGAAGATAATATCTTAGAGATGAACAGTTTAAGATTGTGATGATCGAGGGAGCATTTTTTTTGTCTTTTGGTACCAAAAACAGCGGTTCGTGGGAAGAAGCTGTACAAGCGGTACTTACATCTCACCGACAGAATACGAAGGGACTGAAGTTCGTTGGCATCAATGTGCGTGGCGTGTCTTGGCCGTTAAGGATAGAATTGGTCGAACTAATGAAAGTTGTTCATCTGAACACTTTGAAATATCAATAGAATAGCGAGAGGCTTCAAACGTTTCATCGTCATTTCTTTAATAATTTCACTCCAAGCAATTCACTGAGACACAAGGGGTTACTCTGTGTTAGAGCGTATGAGAAATAAAAATACCAAGGAGAGAAAACAATACAAGAAAAAAGAATTAAGAAGTCAGATGATAACGATTGACAATGCATTAAAAGTTTTTAATTTTTTTAATTTACTTTAATTTGATTTAATTATTTGATTTAATTTAATTTTTTTAATTTAATTTTTAATTTAAATTTAATTTAATTTAATTTAATTTTAATTTAATTTAATTTAATTTTAATTTAATTTTTTTAATATTTAATTTTTAATTTTTTTTAATGAATTAAAAATTCATGACGATCAAAGTTGACTGAAAAACAAGGAGCCGGAAGAGAGCACCACAAACAAGAAGTGATAGAAGAAACTCTTAGCATAGAACTTACGGTGGAGTTCAGTGATCAGAAACAGGTAGCATGAGAATTGAAATGACAACGGGCTTCGGCATATGTGCTCAACATAGGATGCTAAGTAGGAATAACTAGGCCACATTTCTAGATAAGATTTACTGATTTTCTAAGCGTATCTTAGTTGTGGCACAAAGCCGAAAGTACCCAATGAGGATCGAACTCACTATTCGGTCGTAACTGCTTTAGTGAGACAAGCTCGGTAACCATTACACCACGCCGTGGTGCTCTTCCTAGATAAGATATAACTATCCCAACAAACAAGGCATCTTTTGGCTTTTCTATACTTTTGCGAAGGGTCATTAACGTTCTAGCTCAACATATGTGCTGAACTTGAGCTTATCACAGCCAATATCGTCTTCCAGGTTCCAATTCGACAGAAGAACACCTGGGAGCATCCACGATGTAGACAATGGTACACTCTGGACCATCGTCCGACAGAGAGACCGCAGAGACGTCCTGATCACACACTCCGCCCCCGGAGCCGACGAGTGCTGAACGGACCATCGATTGCTTATGTCCAAACACAGCAGTCAAATTCGCAGACACTCACGCAACAAACATCAAATTTGATCACTTTGAACAATTATGTGACTGACCTCATCTCGTCACTAATAATGATTTTGATCCTGATGAGAATCCCATCTGTCATGGCCTTTTTCTAGCAGGAGTTTGATCTATCTATCTATCTATCTATCTATCTATCTATCTATCTATCTATCTATCTATCTATCTATCTATCACAGTCTGTTCAAATCTATCTATTCATATCTATCCTAGTATCTTCATATCTATTATATATCTATCTACCAAAGCCTGTTCATATTTATCTATCTATCTATCTATCTATCTATCTATCTATCTATCTATCTATCTATCTATCTCAGGGGTTTCTAAACTTTTTTTTTGTGTGTCATCGCTCACTTTGATATGGACCAATTTTCCACCGCACACTTTGCATAGTAAATATTCAAAAGTATACGCACATTGTTTACTGAAAGCTTGTTACTGGTTCATAAACTGGGTTTATGATGTCGTAAAAAAATACCAAGGGAGGTAACAAATAACGCTTATTGCGGAAACGACTGCTGCTGCCACTACCTTATAGAACAAACGAAAGTTAACGTACGCATTGGAAAGTAAATATATTTAATTTAGTTTTATGGTTATTGTAACAGTTAAGGAAAGTGTTAACAAAAAATTAACGATTACAGAATTAAAAAGAATATACCCTACTAGCAACTAATAAAAAATTCAGCGAATATTTATTTGCTGTTCTTGGTCTTCCCTTATCGGATACTAGCAGTAGAGCCCGGCGTTGCCCGGGGATGTAACAGTAAGAGATAAATCAAGTATCGACCATCAATCAGACTGGAAAACAAAATTGACAAAGATTATTGCTTAAGGTTGACGGACACACATGTCCTAAAATGTTTTTTTTTTTTTTTTTTTTTTTTTACGAATTGGTCAAACCCAAACTCAAACAAAAAGATTGTTTTCAATCGTTATGAGTCTACCGATTAAATAGAATTTCATTATAAACAATTGTCTTGTCAATGGAAGTTTTAAAGCATTTTGAATGTAAAAATAAAGAAAAAAGTGTGCAAGAAATTAAGAAAAACTACCTGCCCAAAAAAACAGTGAAGTTTTATTGAAATCGGTTGAAAAATGTTGGAAATCCGATCCCATATATAAACGAACACACACACACACACACACACACACACACACACACACACACACACACACACACACAACCTGGGTTTTATAATAAGTATAACTTGATATAAGTTGTCCCCCTTTCATTCTAGCGATGCCTCTTAATCGTGTTTTCAAATTGATTTCGTGCAAACATAATTGTGTTTTTCCAATTTTTGGCATTGTTAGAACCACCGCAAGGTAATTTTACGTTGTCCTGTGAAGTTTTGTTGAAATCGGTTGAAAAATGTAGGAAATCCGATCCAATATATAAACGTACAGACACACACACACACACACACACACGCACGCACACAACCTGGGTTTTATAATAAGTATGATATCCCTGAAAAAAATGTTAGTTCGACTGAAGAACTATTTGAATGTTAATGACCTTTTCTTAAAACTAAAGGAAAACCAAAAGATTCCTTGTTTGCCGGGATAGATATATCTTATCTAGGAATGCGACCTAGTTATTCCTTTTTAGCATCCTATTTTGTTTTTGTTTTAGTTTTTTTTTATACAGGTTATTCAAGATTTCTTTCGGTTAGCGTATGTTGAAATATCTTTTTAATACTCAAAACCTTATATCACCCAACAAAATTTTCAAACGACCGCCATTTCCTCTCCAGATGTGGATCGCTCATCCAACAGTTGAAAACGTCCACCAGTTATAGTTTTAAGAGAAAGTTTTTTTTATATATAAATTTCTACTAACAGCAACTCGGTCCATGATTGCCAAATGTTTCCTTATAAGGAAACGGCTAATATTCCTATTATAATTCGCAATATTTTTACACTTACCCCTTTGGAAGGAGGCTTAAAACTAATGAACTCATCTTTGTCGTTATTATCTAAACTGGCCGTTGTGCTCTCTGACCTTACTCAGATGTTTGTCAATCTGGTTACCCTTCAGGTAATTTCGAATTGAACCATTTATTTAATCTGCGAGGTTAGACTTTTCTTGTCTCATTGAACCTGCGTCAGCTCTGGGATTGAAGTTACAATTGCTAAGCTATCAAATATTCGAGCTAATACTTTAATAAATTAGGTTATTCGAAATTTCTCGGGTGTTAGCAAGATCGTCAGTAAAAGGTACAATGGCCAAAACGTACAAACGAAAGATAAAAATAACAAAGATAAGGATATTAATCTGAATGCAAATAATAATAACTCCTCATCCCATAAATTCAGATAGAAGGCAAAGTGATAATAACAACAAAGATGAGGATATTAGTCCAAATGTAAATAATAACTTACCATCCTATAAACTCGGACAGAAATTTTCTGTCTATCTATCTAGCTATCCAGCTTGTTTTCTAAGTTACAATACACCGCTTAATGATGAAGAAAAGCCTTTTTTTAAACAACAATTATTTAGGTTCTTAATCAATGACTTTTTTAGACGAAAGCTGACAAGACGAAGAAAGATTGTACTCTATAAGTCAGTGGTCACTAGCAGCCCAAACCAGAAGACCGTTCACCCTCCAGGCAAAATGAAGACACCTTGCCCCGGTTAGAATGTTGCAATCAAATAGATTTTGCCGACTACTACAATTTCGTGTCATGATTTCTTTAAAGTAACGGACCGACCAAAGAATTATTTTACTTGTATTAAGCCACAAGCGTTCGACTGGGAAAAAGCTGTTTTCTGCGAACGAATCTGGTGTCTGGTGTCTGCAACGCTTGAAGAATACTAAAAAAGAAAAAAAAAAGAATGAAAGAAAAAAAACAAAGAAAATATCTTCGACAAAATGGAAACCAAACTAATGAAGCCAAACCGTAAAAAAACATGATGCCATTCTACAATTGAAACCAAAAACAGAAGAGATGTACTAGTGTGAAAAAACACTTCGAGTCACATTTCAACCCTGACTACACTGAATGTACTCTTAGAGCATTACAATGCTTGTCTCTAAACATAAAAGATAACGAATCTAATGAACGAGGAAGTAAAGAATGATATAGAAAATTGAAGAATAATAAACATTACGTAATATTGAGGCAGAAATTTTGAAAAATAGAGTACCCTATCCCTAAATTTTAAAACAACTTTTTGAATTTCATGAAGGATGTTTGGTATCAGAAGCGCATTAAAAAAATTGAGTTGCCTCGCTCATCAAAGCGCATTATAGAAACAAAAAAGGGAGGCAAATTGCGTAATACATTGCTTTTTATAACATTAATTTATGATTAGTAAAGTGTTTAACTTTTGAGACGGTAACCAGAGACTGCCATTCGACAAAGTGCTCTCTCTCTCTCTCTCTCTCTCTCTCACACACACACACACACACATATACACACACACACACACACACGCATATACACACTGATACACACATACACGCACACACACACACACACACACACACAGAGAGAGAGAGAGAGAGAGAGAGAGAGGTTGTCAATGTTGTTAAGATTTCTGCACGTTAAGTAACGCGTTATTATAGTCTTTTGTTATGACGTCTATTTTTTATTACGTATTGTTGTTAATCTCTTATTTTCACTAAGATCTATGGAAAGAATGAATCATATATCCATCACATACCTTTTATTACATTATATTGTTATCTATCTATCTATCTATCTATCTATCTATCTATCTATCTATCTACTGTAATCTAGAAAAGGCTACTAAATGAGGAATAGCCAAAATGGAGGTTGCAAATGAAATGATCATCTTTATGACATCAACAAAATACAATACTCGGCAGCGGCGTGAAGTAGGTAATCGACTGTTAGTGGTGGTCTATTTAGACCATATTACCCACACTTACAATAATGTCCAACGTAATTATTAGGATTGGGACATACCCATTAGTGTTCATAGATGCGGTACATAACACTAACTATCTATTGTTTTGTTCCTAATATCTATCTATCTATCTATCTATCTATCTATCTATCTATCTATCTATCTATCAAAATATCACAATATCACTAGCTGAATATTCTGGGTTTATAAATTATTTAAAATTCCGTATGGTTCTCCTAGAATTGCTTCTTGCATACTTTTTCCTGTATTAGTCTTGGGAAAACATTCTGCCATTAATTTAAATCATTTAATCTAGCTTAAGTTATTTACACTATTTAAATTCGGACTATTGTCTTCATCTTTGGTGTTGTTATGACAACGTTTTGGTCGTGATGCCCTCCGGCGTTCATCAGGTGTATATCGATTCGATTCCTAACTCAACGCTTTATTTAATCTATGAAGTTAGACTGTTCTCATCCAAGGATATCTCGTCTAGTTCTTAAAATAAAATATTGCTCATTTAGTGCTTGCACATTTTCCACTGAATCCAAGCACACACTGCTCGGACCAAGGATTTAACGCACAATCACCAGATTCACGAACAAGCATACAATAAAACAATTCAGTGCCTAGAACTTGGAGTCTAAAACCTAACTTGCCTGCTGATGCATGTTTCTGTTTGTCATGCTTGACTGCTTTCACTGAAACTTTTCTCTTTTTTTTGTTGTGACATATTGGCTGGGGCTTTTTTTGTGCAATGGATATCGGCTCGGAATGAGAAATCGGGGAGCCGAGTTCGAATTCCAGTCGAGTTCAAGTTTTGAATTTATATCTTCTATGTTCCCCCAGCTATCAGTTGAATATCAGGACAGATTAAATAGCCATGGTTGGCAATACTTGTCCACAAATTACCCGTAAAAAGATCTCAATAAACAGCAATCAGTCAGTTAAGTTCCATAGGTGATACACGCGTGGGCAATCGTGTCTCTTTTGATTCAATCTACCGCAGAAAGAAATGGAAACCTACGGCGGGAAAATCTCTACCTAGTCAGTCCTGAATCGAAAAGAGACACGATCTCCCTAGCGTGTATCACGTGTATTGCACTTAACTGACTGGTCATCATTGAGAACTTTTCGCGGGTACTTTGTGGACAAATATGGACGACAAATAGCCAAATGGGAGCAGATACAAAAGCTCAGTCACATTCTATCAGATATAAAAAAAAGAATGAGATTTAATATTGTCTACTTCAATCGAGACAAAAGTTTGGAGAGTTCGCTCTTGATTTAATATTACTATAAACAGACAGTGTATTTATTCAATCAACTGACAAGTGTTTCAACAGTAGATGGAGAATGCGACCCCGAAATCCAAACACGCATCGAAATAGAAAAAGTTGCCTTAAAAAATAAGCAAAATACAAAGATACAGGAAAATGTAATAAAAAAAAAGCAAAGAATGATGAAATAATGTCAGTCCTATTATATGGTCGATAACTTCCTCGTAGATAGAGAGAGGGGAAATAGAAATATGGTTATACAGAAGGATATTGAGGATATTAGAGACTGTTGAAATTTCTGGTGATGAAGGAAGGCTTAGAAAATATGAAAAGCAAAGGGTTAGAGGGAGATCTATCTGACGGATTTATGTGAATTGATGACAGTACGGAGAGTAAGATGGAATTGAGTAACACAAGCATTATTAAGAGCTGCACAGCATAGGAGGTTGTAGAGAGCCATAATCGCCTTATATCTTGAAGAGACTCGGGACATAGAAAAAAAAGAATATTTCTATGAGTTTCCATTGCCTTGTAGAGTTTTTCTTGCTTAAAAGAAACGTAAATCAAACAGACGCATTTATAAACTGTAATTCAACCTCTAGACGCCATCTTCGTTGAGCTTATCATAACCAGACACAAACGCTGCCGAAATCTCCCTTTCTCTCTGATTCTTTCTCTATACATTTCTTTCTCTCTGTTTCTCTGTTTCCTTCCCTCTGTTTCCCACTCTATTTCTTTCTCCTTCTCTTTCTCTCTCTCTCTCTCACTATCTCTATCTGTGTTTCTATATATCTTTCTATTTGTTTCTCTCTCTGTTCCTCTCCCTCTGTTTCTATCTATCTCTGAGTTTTTCTCTTTCTTTGTTTCTCTCTCTCTCTATATATATATATATATTTCTCCCTTTGCGTTTCTCTCTGTATTTCTCATCCCCTCTCTCTCTGTTTCTCAATCTAACTCTGTTTCTCTCTATAATATATATTTCTATCTATATATGACTCTTTCTGTCTCTGTCTCTGTCTCTATTTCTCTTTTTGTTTCTCTCTCGCTGATTCTGATTCTCTCTCTCTATATTTCTTCCTCTCTATTTCACACTTTGTTTCTCCATTTTTCTCTCTATTTCTCTCTCTGTGTTTCTATCTCTCCGTTTCTCTCTCTGTTTCACTCACCCTCTGTTTTTCCCTCTCTGTGTTTCTAGAAATTTCTCTATTTGTTTTTCTCACTCTCTCTCTTTGTTACCCCTCTCTCTGTTTCTATCTCTCCCTCTTTGTTTTTCTCTTTCTCTTTCTTTATTTCTCATTCTATTTCTCCCTCTCTCTATTTTTTTTCTCTCTGTGTTTCTCTTTCTTTTTCTCTTTTATATATCTCTCTATTTGTTTCTCTCTCTCTCTGTTTCCGCCTCTCTCCGTTTCTATCTCTCTCTTTGTCTTTCTCTTTCTCTCTCTATATTTCTCCCTTCCTCTATTTCTCTCTCTGTTACTCCCTCTCTCTATTTCTCTCTCTGTTTCTCTCTCTGTGTTTCTCTTTCTGTTTCTCTTTCTCTGTTTCCCCCTCTCTCTGTTTCTACCTCCCTCTCTTTGTTTTTCTCTTTCTCTCTCTCTTTATTTCTCTCTCCATTTCTCCCTCTCTCTATTTCTCTCTCTTTTTTCTCTCTGTGTTTCTCTCCCTGTTTCTCACCCTCTCTCTTTGTTTCCTATCTAACTTTGTTTCTCTCTTTCTGTTTCTCTCTCTGTATATATTTATCTCTACATATCACTCTCTCTGTTTCTCTCGCTGTTTCTCTGTTTCTCTCTCTGTATTTTTTTCTCTCTCTCTTTTTCTCTCCCGCACAGATTAAGTCCAGATTACTTTCATGTCATATGTTCTTATTCAATTAGTGTGAGCAGGAAACCGTTTTTGTTCCTTCAGTGAGAAAGATAAGACGACGAAGAGTAACAATAACGTGTGTTAATGGCGGTGTAAGACAAAGAACAAAATGTAAATAATTAGTTCATTTTATCTCGACCGCTTCCTCTCACCATTCTGTTTTCTTTGGGCACAACTTCATTGTGGCTGAATGGGATTTCCATTTCCTCTTCTGTTTTTCAAAAGTGATTTAAGAGAGAAAAGTGGAGAGCAAACAACGAGGAATTAGATGAGGCAATCGTCGATTTTCAGAGACATCACTGTGTCTATTTATTTAGATAAGAAAAGAACGGGTTTAGATAAGAGAAGAACGGGATAGATATATACATATAATCATACACACACGTACACACACACATGTGTGTATATATATATATATATATATATATATATATATATATATATATATATATATAGATAGATAGATAGATAGTAGGTAGGTAGGTAGGTAGGTAAATAGGTAGATAGGTAATGAACCAACTCAGGTAGATAAATGTAATAAAAATAGAAAATATTCTTTTTAAATTATGCAAACAGAATGGCACAGAGAAATAGATATTAAGAAAATGAGATAGATAGATAGATATGAACAGACTGAGGTAGATAGATATGGATATAATCATAATGTGATAGGAATATATAAATATATATATATATATATATATATATATATATATGTGAGCAGAATGAGATCGATTCATAAATATAAATATATGTATAGAATGAAGTTGATATGTATATGTATATATATATATATATATATATATATATATATGTATGTATGTATGTATGTATGTATGTATATGAAGAAATATAGTCTTAAGATGTGCTATATTTATGGGATAAAGTGCTCAATATCAGATATAGAGCGTGTGTAAATATAAAAGTGAACATAGAAGTCAACACGTAGAGGCACAGTCTGTTTCATGCTAGATGCAATCGTCAGGCCAGTGGCATCTAGCATGAAACAGACTGTTGCCTCTATGTGTGTGTATATATATATATATATATATATATATATATATATATATATAGTGAGAGAGAGAGATGAAGTTTGAGTAGATAGATAGATATAAACAGCTTGAAATAGATAATGAATTTATTTGTTTATTTAGATAGATAAATACGAACACTATGTGAGAGGTAGATATATATACATATTTATATATGAGCAGAACGAGATCGATACACAAATAAATAGAAGTATACAGTGTGTGATGGATAAATTGTCGCCATTTTATATTTTTAATTTCGCGCATGCTCGTTGTTTGTTTTTGATTTTGATGTCGTCTGAGCAGAATAGCAAGGTCAGTTGTGCACCGTCCCCTCTAGAAATTTGGAAACGGCATGTTGTACTGCTTGGCATCCACGCTTGAATCTCAAATAGGACCATTTCCGAGTATTTGCGTGTCAATCAACAGTCCTCAATAGTTCAGCAGGGGGTTCAGAAAGTATTGGACGAGTCTAATGGTGATTTCGAAGGTACGGCAGCTCGGGAAACTCACTCTGATCGTTCTGTTGGTGAGGGCCCCAGACTCAACTCGGAGGCCTACATCAACTGCCTTGAGGAGATAGTGCCGCACTGGGTCAAGAAGGTGGCTGCTGGAAGACCCTATGTCTAACACCATGCCACACTAGCAGGAGAACGCTGTCATACAATTTCTGCGACGACATCACCCTTTACATCTGGCCATATAACTCCCTAGGCTTCAACCCCCTTTATTAGCAGTATGGGGCGCAGTTGAGCGAGAGACTAACAAAACTCCTTGTAACACCAAAGATGGACTGAAGGCAAGGATTATGGCTGGATTCGCCAACTTAAACAAGGAGACCGTCCAGAAGAGATGCAGGAGATTCTGAAGTCAATGGAATAAATTTACTCTTTAGCGCTTCAGGATATTTTTGTGTAATTTTGGCAAAAATATATCTGTTAAAATGGGATGTTAGTGTTATTTTCATCGACAATTTATCGATCGCACCCTGTATGTATATATATATATATATATATATATATATATATATATATATATATATATATAGAGAGAGAGAGAGAGAGAGAGATAGATAGATAGATAATAAACTGATTTAGATAGATAGATAGATAGATAGATAGATAATAAACTGATTTAGATAGATAGATAGATAGATAGATAGATAACAAACTGATTTAGATAGCTAGATAATAAACTGATTTATATAGATAGATAGATAGATAGATAGATAGATAGATAATAAAACTGATTTAGATAGATAGATAGATAGATAGATAGATAGATAGATGACTAGGATGAGATAGAGATAGAGGCTGAGATAGATAGATAGATAGATAGATAGATAGATAGATAGATAGATAGATATGACTAGGCTGAGATAGATAGATAGATAGATAGATAGATATGACTAGGCTGAGATAGATAGATAGATAGATAGATAGATAGATAGATAGATAGATAGATATGACTAGGCTGAGATATATGTTAATAGACGGTTAGATATAGACTGAAAGAAACAGAGACAGGTCGGAAGTAAGTGGAGAGACGTAAGATTTAGTTAGTGAGTGGCTATAAATGGATAGAGAGAAAATTATAAAGAGAGAAAAGGGGAGAGAGAGAGAGAGAGAGAGTGAAAGAGGAAGAGAGAGAGGAGGAGAATGAAAGAATAAGGGCGAGAAGGAAAAAGAAAATACAAAGAGAGAGGGAAATACAGCATTGTTCAAATTTACCTATACAGAGGTTTGGAAACACACGCACACACGTGTACACACACATATATAACTAGAGAGAGGCGAGTGGGGGATAGATAGATAGATAGATAGATAGATAGATAGATAGATAGATAATCAATGAAGCATCTGGGATAGATAAATAGATAGATAGGAAGAGACTTTGATAGGTAAACATAGAGAGAGAGAGTAAGAGAGAAGAAAGAAGACAGTAAGACAGAGAGAGAGAGAGAGAGAGAGGTGGTGAAAAGTAGACACTGAATGAGGCAAAGAAGTAAAGAAAATCTGTGATTGTGTCAAGAGAGAGAGAGAGAGAGAGACGGAGATAGAGATAGAGATAGAGAGAGAGACAGGGCATAGAGAGGAATAAAAAGAGTGAGAAAAATAGTCGCTAAAAACCGGATGAAAGGGCATAAGTAAAAATGGGTCACATAAAATAACGACAAGAGAGAAAGAGAGAGAAAGGAAAGGAAGAGAGAGAGAGGAAGAGAGAGAGAGAAAGAGAGAGAATAACTTGCGAGAGAGTGATGAGGTGTAAGAAGGAGAGAGGGAAAGAAAGAAAACAAATGGAAAAGGAAATGTAGCATTGTGCGCCTAGAGAGATTGAATATGAGCCTCTCTCCCTCTCTCTCTCTCTCTCTCTCTATCTATCTATCTATATATATATATATATATATATATATATATATATATGTGTGTGTGTGTGTGTGTGTGTGTGTGTGTGTGTGAATAAAGACAAAAGGAAAACATAGTAGACGCATTTCGTCCACTATGGTACTTTATCAAGGCAAATTTGCCTTGATAAAATCCCTCAGAGGACGAAACGAAAGAGTGTTAGAGAGAGAGAGAGAGAGAGAGAGAGAGAGAGAGAACGTGTATTAAAATATTAAGTGTGAGAGTGAAATGAATCACACACAATTGCTCTTAATATATATATATATATATATATATATCAAGAGCCAGTCCACGAAAGAGTGAGAGAGTGAAATGAGGTGCATGAAAGAAAGAGAAGGGAGAGAAAAAAGGAACGTGATATATATATATATATATATATATATATATATATATATATATAGTGAGAGAGAGAGAGTGAGAGAGAGAGAAAGAGAAAGGGGAGAGACAGATAAAGAGAGGACGCAAGGAAGTGTGTGCAGAAATCCTGTCATTGTCTGCTATCATGCCGAGCCAGTTCGGCAGTTCTCCTTCTTTCAGCCTAATTTAATATTGTTAGCGTGTGTTAATTAACCAAAATTGGTAAAACAGAAAGCTTATAAGTTTTTATAGTCGTCAGATGAGACTCCAGAGCGATTCACACAGACTCTATCCTTTCCGCTTTCTCGACCGACGAACCCCCACCCCCGTATCGCCATCTTCTCTTTGACACCTCAAAAGAAAAAAAAAGAAAGAAAAAAAAAAACAAAAATTTAATTGCAGAAGCAATCTTTTCCAGTAACAAGGTAATTTGTGAGGTAAACGCATACGCCTTGTTAGCGAGAAATCATTGAAAATCGGAACATGCAAAAATACGTTTGGGCCAATGATCTCGACATCAGAAGTATTTGATGTTGATGAAAGAAAAAACAATAGTGGCTGTATATGAGCAAGTTTGCCAACATGCTGCGATGTGTCAAGTCGACTGATACAACCCGCCCACTTCGCACATAATTTAAATGCCCTGAATGTTTATCTTGAGAATAAGTTTTATCTTCTCAGCTTATCATGTATTCATGTTTCTTTTACAATCATTTCAAATATTTAGTTTTATCTTCTAATGATTTTTTCTTGGTGGAGTTTACTCAACCTGAATCTACATGAGTTTTCGGTAAGTTTCTATTAGGTCGAGTATAAATAACTTCCGTTTTTGTTAATCAATTTTAACCTTAAGTAATATTGATTTAATCGATCAAATATTCACCATTATTTATAAAGAACACTCATACACCCTCATCAGTAAAAAAAATCCTTGTAGATAGCAGTGCCATTCTAGGAACATCTAAAATTTTAATAAACATCTGAAGATAACTGAAGCACTTAATATAAAACGGTTTACGCCAAATCTCATTCTTAACCTATTTGAATAGGGCAACAAATGTTGGCTCAATATAGAATTGTTTATACTTCCACCCAGCTAATATTTCTACACAATACAATTTAGATCATAAACACAGGAAAATAAGCTAACAAGAAACCACTTGAAAATAGTTAACAAAGTGATCAAAAACGCTTGGGACAATAATTATTTTGGAATTCACTCTATCACCTTTAATAATTGCTACAAGAAATAGATAGGAGAAACCTCAAGGAATTTAAATAAAACGATTATATGAACATAAAAGGGATCTATTACAAAGCAACACATTGAATGCATTAGTAGCTCGCCGTAATGAGTGTGATCATAATTTTGATTTTAAAAATGCTACTTTACTTAAAAGAGAAAGCAATTTACAAAGATGAAAGTGTATAGAAAATGCTTTGATCGCTAGATAGCACACAGTAAATTTGCATCAGGTTCTTACAACATTTAATCTTTCTTGTGAGGTCTATTAACACAATATGGGATGATTAATTACAAGACTGTTAAAAACCTAAACAAAAAGACAAGAAACAAAAAGAAATTTGCTAACCTATATACGCAAAAAATTTAAAATGTTTAAAATGTCAGATTTCCCACTCCTTCACGCGCATGCGTAGTCGCATCAACGTAAACATCAGTTTAGTCCGATGAAGTTCTAAAGAACGAAACACGTCACGGGAATTTTTTTTCCAAATACACACTTATTAAGACACTAAAAAGATAACCATGCCCGCATTGTCCAAATTGAACAGAAACAAGTCAGCTGGACCAGGCGGAATTGTAGCGGAAATGCTGACTTTGGCATGGGCAAGTTTACCGAAATAACAAATAAATTCTACAAAAGCGGGGATATATCGGAAGACCTCAGTAGATCTATCTCCATAGCAATGCTTAAGAAAACAGGCACAAACGAATGCGAACTCTACCGGACAATAAGCCTAATGAGCCACATGAAAAAACTCATCATCCGAATTCTAATGGTCAGAGCGCGCAGCAGAATCATTCCAGAGATAGGACAAGAACAGTGCGGGTTCGTTAAAGATACTGGAACAAGGAACGTAATATTTATGCTCGGAATGTTATCAGAAAGAGCGATACAGATGTAGAAGGACGTATACCTATTTTTCATTGACCATGCAAAGGCCTTCGACAATGTACGACACAGGGATCTGATGGAACTGTTCAACACACTCAATATATTCGGGAAAGATATCAAAATAATCAAAAACCTATACTGACAGAAAACAGCATGCATGCGCATAGAGAATGAGGATTTAGCATTGGCGGCCCAAATCTTAACAACATAAGATATGCAGATGACATAGTACTGATAGCAGACACGGAAATGAAATTACAAAATCTCCTACAGAATGTAACGACGGAGAGTGAGAAGAAGGGACTATGCATAAACTACAAGAAAACGGGGTGCATGTTCATCAGTAAAAGGATAAACCCGAAATGCGATTTGAAGGTCGGGAGCTCTAGAATGAAGCAGACGCGGAAGTTTAAATATCTGGGAAGCGCCTTGACAGAGGACGGTAAGTGCGACATTGAGATCTGTAGACGTATTTGTATGGACAAGGACACATTCCAAAAGCTGGGCAGAGTATTGCGAGACAGAAGGATTCCTTTGGTAACAAAGAAAAGAATACTGAGCTGTCACGTGACAGCGAATGCTGGACGATTTCCTCAAAGATGAATAAGAGACTCGAGGCGACAGAGATGTGGTTCTACAGAAGGATGCTGAGAATGTCATGGGCTGGGCGTGTGAGCATCGAAGAGATCTTAGAGGGGTTACAAACAAGGAGGAGGATTATACTTAATATCAGGAAGAGGCAGCTGAAGTTTTTGGCACACATAATGAGGAAGGAGGGCCTGGAGAATCTGATACTCACGGGTCGAATAGAGGGAAAGAAAGACAAGGGAAAACAATACGTGACATAGCTGGCGGACTTAAGCAAGTGGATGACAGAACGTGGTCTGGGGGAGGAAGCAAAGGGCAAGAACTTGTTGAGAGATGCAAGGGAGAGAAGGAGGTGGAGAGCCACGATCGCCTACGTTCTGAAAGGACATGGCATATAAAAAAAGAAATAGGATAACGTGAAAAATAGTTTTCAGCCATATACTTCGTCACTTACAATTTGCGTTATGTGACCAGAGTAACAGACTGCCACGCACGAAGGAAAAGGTTAAGGTAGGCGATAAATGGCAGATGCTGTAACACAATCATACGTCATTCTCGCTGGATTTATTCTAGTTTAAAAAAATATATATATTCAATGTGAAACACTAAGGAAGGCAAAAATTTTATTTCCCCAAAACATTATTGTGCTCCTATATGTTAACTAAGTAAAAAAAAAACCATAAAAATACAATCAAAATTACTTTATCATAATTTGTCCTCTTTTGCCGTTCCCTCCGCCTAACGCAGGGGCCATATACTTTGGTAAAGTTAAATCAGTACAATAATAACAGCAAATTAACTATTAGACCAACTAGTTTGCACGGTCGATACGCCCTGCCAATAACTGATAAGTATTGGACTCCAAATTTGAATCGATTATTTTAAACTCACGATTATTCATGATTTCTGAAACCCGTGTGTTTTAATTGATTGTACAAAATATCCAATATTTATTTTACAAAATACTTTTACATCTAAGCCAAATTCAATAAAATTCGTCTTATATATATATATATATATATATATATTGCAAGGAATAAATACGAATTATTTCTTAATGGCATTATGAAAAATGAAAAAATAAAAAAATAAGAGATGATGACACTTTCAAAGCAGACCAACAGGTTTCGTTCCCAAGCTCATCAGGGTCGACTGGGAACAATTTCAAAATTATTGCAATATAAATTGACTCACTCACAAATCCTACATACAATTAAAACTTTAAAAAATGAAAAGATTAATGGTATGAGAAAAAATATATATATATATATATATATATATATAATATATATATATATATATATATATATATATATATATATTTTATTAGACAGTGCGAATATGCAAAAGTGAAAAGGGAAAAAAAAAATTATAACAGGGAGTGTGAGGAGAAATTATGATAGACACTAGAGTGTAATAACGTGAAGCCCAAAGGAGACAGTCTTTTTTGCACATATATATATATATATATATATATATATATATTTTTAAAGAAAACAGACAACTTTAAAGTTCCATCATAATAATTTATTTCACCAGATCCCTTTTAAAAGAACTCCAGATCATCAGATAGCACTTATATATATATATATATATATATATATATATATATATATATATATATATATATATATCTTTAATATTACCCTCAAATATTACTCTATTTTAATTAAACCTAAACTTTAAGTAAGAAAGATTACCCATATAAAAATAATTACAAATTGCATTCATAAATTAGATTTAAAGATGTTACCGTAACTATTTTTTACAATATTAAAAAAGTACGATCGGTCGGGTAAACAAACTGTTATAATTTAAAATATTTTTTT